CTTCCTAGGCGAACCTGAGCTTGGCAGATCCACTCATGATTCCTCTGGCCGACATACTAGAGTACCTCTTGCATCTAAAACATACAGGCCTCTCCTTCAGCTCACTAAAGGTTAACCTCACGGCTATAGCTGCGTTCATCATCCCGTTGAGGACAAATTGGTCTTCGCCCATCCCACAACTAAATGATTCTTAAAGGGCCTCCAGAACACTTTTCCACTCTTAGAGCACCAGTCCCAGCATGGGCCCTAACCTTGTACTACGAGCTCTAACCCATGTCCATGTGTTCAATGATACGACTTTCATTGAAAGACGCAACACTAGTCGCACTTACCTCAGCTAGAAGAGTAAGTGAAATTGGGGCGCTCAGGGCTGACCCACTCTTCACCATTTTTCATAAGGACAGGGTGGTCCTCCAACCACTTCCAAAGTTCTTATTTAAAGCCCTTATCTCCTGGCATTGCAACAAACCGCTCGTGCTACAGATCTTCTGTCCAAAGCCGCATGCCACCTCCGAAGAAGCTAAATGGCACACTCTCAAAGTATGCCGTGTGTGGGCCTTTTCCTAGAAAGGACAAAGGCAATTCGTAAAACAAACAGACTTTTCATCTCCATCACTAAAAAGTCATTGGGCATACAAATCTCTACACAGAGACTTTCCAAGTGGATCGTAGACTCTATTCGCCTGGCTTACATCAGTTTTAACCAACAGCCTCCACTTCAGTTGCAAGCTCATTCCATATGGGCCATGGCAACCTCTGTGGCTTACCTTAGCAGCATTAATCTGACGGACATTTGCAGGGCCACAACATGGTCTTCTGTACACACTTTTGCCAGACATTATGCCCTGGACACTTACTCAAACTGGGACACAGAACTTGGACTAACATTCCTTACCAAAGTTCAACATGATTATTAACTGAAGCACCCGCCGCCTCACAGGAGTACTGCTATACAGTCACTTAAGGTGGAGCACCCACAGAGACACTCCTTGAAGAAGAAAGGAAAGTAACACGAATAATAATAATAAAATAATAAAGTAATAAAATAGGTGGGGAAGATGGTTCAAAAAAGTAGAAAGGAAAGTTACTCACTTGTGCCATAATGGAGGTTCTTCAAGATGGTTGTCCCCTGTGGGTGCTCCACCACCTGCCCTTCCTCCCCTCTGCTTTGGAGTTGTTCTTGTCCTTCCGGGGAAGAGAAGGAACTGAAGAGATGGTTGCCGTGCATGCGTGGTAGTGGTAGTGGTACTGTGTGTGCCGTCTGCCACGCATGCATGGCATACCAGAGGGCAATACTACTGAAAATCTCTGATCAGGTGTGCAACAGCATTGACCTACAGTGGAGCACCAACAGGGACAACCCCTAGTGCCGGCACGGGGTTCGCACTAGCCGGCTTTTAAAAATGGCGGCGCCGGCTTTATGCTAATGAAGCCCGGGAAATTCAAATCCCGGGCTTCATTAGCAAGTTTGGTATGCATACATTACCCCCCTAGTTCGAACTAGGGGGGTAGTGTAGACATACCCCTATAGACAACCACCTAACCTCAAGATGATTCTTACCAACAACCACAGGACATACCACACTAATACCAACCCTGGTACCGTCCCTTGCAACAAACCCCGTTGCCAGCTTTGTCCACATATTCACTCTGCTGATACCATTATTGGACCTAACCAAGTGAGTTATAAGATCAAGAACACACATTTCTGCTCATGCAGAAATATAATTTATGCTATGTACATTGGACAAACGTCTCAGACACTTCGCCAAAGGATCAATGCCCACAAAACAGATATTAGACAAGATCACAAAGAAAAAAACAGTTTCTTGCCATTTCAACCAGAAAGGACATTGTCTCAATGACTTGATTACCTGCACCCTGCTTCAAAGGTCTTTTAAGACTACACTTGAAAGAGAATCCTCTGAACTGTCATTCATGCTTAAATTCGACACTTTACGCCTAAGTTTGAACAAAGACTTTAATTATCTTACCCATTACAAAGATAGCTTCCCCAAGTATCACCTCTAAGATCATTAGCTCACAGACATTTACCTCCCCCCCCTCCAACCCTTTCCCCCCCCCCCCCCCCCCAATCTCCCTTCTGTTCTGAAATTTGATTTGTCCTTTTCACGTGTTCATTTTTATAATTGTATCCTTTGGTATATATGGTTGTGACACTTTACTTCCACGGTCTGGCCCATGAAAGCTCATCACCTAATAAACCATCTTGTTAGTCTTTAAAGTGCTACATAGTCCTGTTTTTTGTTTCAGCTACACCAGACTGACACAGCTATATTTCTATCACAAGACTATTCTGGTTACTACTGAGCAAGATGGACAAGAAATATCTCGCAGAATGGGTAGATTTGTCATAGAAACATGCTGAAGGCTTTTTGGTTTTAGAAGAGTGACCAGAGGCTTGCCACTCACATAAAGATATACCACCAGTGCTCTTGTTTCTCTTTTAAGGAAAACTCTGCTAGGGTTGCTTTCTCCATTCACTATGAAAGGTGGTGTGATAATTCACTTGTACTTCTGGTATCAAAGTCTTCGTCAAGGTCATGGGACATGTGTCTTTGAGTGATTCCTTTTTCTCCTTTGGAGGGCAGAGTCCCATCGTGATGGGATCAGAATGTTGCTTTGGACATTTAGAATGCTTCATTCCACATCAGTGCATAAATGCAATTAATTCCAAATAAGGTACCGTACAATAGGTATGGTATTGCCAGTCAGGTTTCCCAACTCCTGACATTTTGAAAGGTGTCTATAATTACAGTGTAGTCCCTGTTGCCAAGCTCAGATAGGATTTTGAGTCCAGAATTAAAGGCTTCTGAATCATGGGTGACAGTGCCTGACAAAATAACTGAGGGCTTTGTCTTAATATTAAGTGCTTTACATGCAAGGTAATTTTCAAGGTGAAAGTGACGTTAGGGATCAGTTTTTATTTTATAGGGATAGTGCTGTGCACTTGTCCACAATTTCCCTGGCCAAAATGATTAATTTAATTTTCCATTTTTTTTCTTCATGTTCCTCACAAGAAGGGCGGGGGGATTTCTCCAGTAAGAATCCTCCTGTGAATTCTATTTTGAGCAAAAAACAGAGTTCAAAAGGACAGTTGGGCAGGTATTCTTTTCCCTGTTTAAAAAAAAAACTATTTTATGGAAATGCGATCTCTGGTAGAGGACATGTTGTATGGTGTGTTTGTGTTATATAGATGTCTTGTGTCCGGTATAGTTGGGTCTAGGTCTGGAAGTCCGTGTTAATTCTAAACAGGAGAGCTCCAATAGCTTATTATAGGAAGATTTCAATCAGCCGTATTATCCCTGCTAAATACATTTTCAATCATTATTTATATCTGTAGCAAGGAATCCCACATCTGTTTCTGAAAAATGTCAAACTTGAATTTTTTCATCTTTAGAGGTTGTCTTTTCAGGATGATGACTCCTGCACTGTGCTAGAGCAGGGAGGGGGGGGGGAGTTATTTGCATTCTTGTACGTTAGTGGATTTAACTATTTTCACGTTTTCTGCAGTTATTTTGTATTTTCCAGATATTGCTTCTTTTAAAGGGTGATTTTTTCAGTGTACTCATTTTTCAGTGTATTTATTTGCTGTACAAACTTATCTGTATGTAATTAGAGTTTGAAATAATTTAATTATCTTATAAAAAAAAAACCTATGGAAATGCTTTAGGGCTTCTGAGATACCTAATACTGGTGTATGCTCACAAGGACAAAGCCTTTCACCTGGCCTAAACGGAGAAGCCAAAAACCTTAAGAGCAAAGGGAGTAAGCCAAAAACCTTAAGAGCAAAGGGAGTTTCTCTTCAGTGAAGCAGAGTTACCAAGGTAGTTTTTCCTTCTCTTGACTTGATTCTGTTTTATGATATGGCATGACCAGTATGGAAGCTCTACCATACACGGCTGTGTTGATGAGATAATCAAAGTAGTGTAGGATAACTACAGGTGCTTTCCATTTTAAACACTCTCTGTTGGGTAAGTATGCATGTGTGCCCAGAGAAAGAAATGGGGACGAAAATTCTACAGCAAGGCACATAGTATTTTATTGACTGACAGAGGAGGGGACTCTTGCACATGGGTGTTACCAGAATACAAACAAAAATTAGTGAGAAAAGGATTTTTTCCCCCTCTGTAGAATTCAGTTACGTGGTGTGAAATTTAATGGATTTATCATTTAACCAGAAAAACTATGCTTGCTTTTGTTGTGACTTGGTATGCAAAAGTCAGAGGTCACAGTGTTGTGAGCAAAAAAATTGTATTTACCAGTAAGTTTTCTTCTTTGGCTTAGTAACTAACTAATACTCAAACTATTAAAATGACTCTGCTAGAGATTTGAATTGTAGCATTATAATGGAAGAATTTTGCTCTGTAGCAGGCTGGAAGGGTGTACAAAGACTGATGCTTTATAAAAATACTGTCCTAGTCATGACAAACATAGTCTCAAATTGTCCAAACTGGAGAATTTAAATAGTAAAATAAATTAACTAATTACATCTCTCTAGTCTAAGATGTGAAAATTCAGGATAAAATATTTTCTGTGAAATACTGGTGTCAGTTATCTGGGGCATTCATCCTATGAGGGTAAGAGTTTTACATATATGTATCTGCCCTTCAGATTTTTACATTTTTAAATAGATAATGTAATAAAGAATTAGTGGATGGAATGCAACAAATCACATGACTGAGTTAGTTCTGTGAGGAAGGAGGCTTGATACTTTTATTTTTATAAAATACATTAATTTTTTTAAAAGTGTAATTCCTCTATTAATTATGTTTGATATATTTCCTACTTAAAATCTCTTACCCATTGTAGATATCAAAACCTTGGTTAAATTTCATATTAGTATCACAGACAATTTTGGTTTTAGATATTGATCTTTCTTGCTTGCCACCTTCAATTAGTATTCCTTATTAATACTGAGGTCGGTTATGGTTGATATGATACGAAATTTAGAAATCAATGCTTTCTTTTGCTTCCAGATGCCACCTCAAATGAACAGCAAGACCTCTTTTGTCAGAAGTTGCAACAGTGTTGTATACTATTTGACTTCATGGACTCTGTTTCAGACTTGAAGAGCAAAGAAATTAAGAGAGCCACATTGAATGAACTGGTTGAATATGTTTCAACAACTCGTGGTGTGATTGTTGAGTCAGCTTATGCTGACATAGTGAAAATGGTAAGTAAAACTGGAGTTGAACAATATTTATTTGATATTTAAAACTAAACACAATTTCTTAGCTTCTGTCTGAATTTATATTTTTAGAGTAGTTGTAGAGCATAGCCTGAAAATTAGTGTAGTTCATTAGTGATCAACTCTCACAGCCTAAAGAAAGCTTCATAGAATTTGTCAAATATGAAAAATTGCTTTATTGGAGTAAATAGTGCATATACTGCACAGTAAATGCAGTATAGCTACATTTTTAGACTTGACATATAAAGACTGTTACCTTCTGGACAAGCTTCAGAAGAAAATCCCCCAAGGTTCAGGAAATGAGAAGATTTTGAGTTGTTCTGTTAGTGTTTCATGACTTGAGAATTGAATAGATGTATGGACGCTTAAGAATGAGTCCTAGGTCTAAAACTCTGGGAGAGATTTTCATCGAGGTTAGAATCAATAGAAAGGAACTGGTCCTACTAAAGTAAATGCACTGTAACTACTTTAAATCATGGAGGTGTAACTACATGGTTTAGACGTAAACCAATGTGTATTGCAGTGATCTTTCTACCAATTTCTGTGGCTATAGAACAAACAGATTTACCATTGTTATTCACATTAACAACTCTGTGTTTACATTAGGTGTTCTGCTCTTATGTAAAGAGTGTTGTTTGTTTCAAAGTAATCTCTGTTTCTCTCTCACTTTTTGATTTTTGACATATACTTTAAAAAGGTTTTCTTGCGGGACAACAGAGTGACAGAGGGTCTTACTCTGGCATGGAGGAGGAAAAGCAGAGGAGGGTGAGGGAGGCACGGCATGTGAAGGAGGGGGAGAGAGGTGTCCTGGAAAAACTCCGCTGCGTCCAAGGAATGGGTTTGCTCTTCTACTTTTTTTTTTTTTTGTGGAGGAGCAAAAGTGCTCTTTCTTGGAGCCCCTGTATACCTTGTTCTGTGAGGGATAAGGGCTCTGCCAAAAGAGGAGGCTTTTCTGCCATTTGGCCCCGTCTAGATGGGACCAAATGGCGGAAAAGCCTATTCCAGAAAAGCGATTGGAAAAAGCAATGCAAATTGCGGCACACAATTTGCATAGCTTTTTCCAACAAAGGACTGTAGTGTAGGCCTAGCCTGGCAGAGGAAGGAGGAGGGGGAACGGCTACAGGCCCTCTCCCTCTGGTCATGAGGTGGGAGGCCACATGGCTCCAGCCCCATGCCAGTGAGGGGCAAGGCCGTGGAGCTCCCATTTGCTCCCTTCCCCTGGACCACCGTCAATGTCCTGCATGCCTGCCTCCCCTCACCCACGCTGAGCCCCTGAGAGGTGCTGTACCTCCCGCGCACGCCAGCCCCAATCAGGGACGGAGCTGCAAGCCATACAGTCTCCCCTATGCTCTGACCAGCCCCGCTGAGGGTTGGGGCAGTGAGAGTATGAGCTTTGTGGCTCCCAGGGCATGTGGCTTCTCCCCACCTTGGTGCTCTGAGGAGAGGCCATGTGGCTGCCTTGTTGGCTCCATGCCACACAGGTTGGCAGTTAACCCCTCCCTCACATGCTTCCCTCCCCTGAGAATCCCTCTGGCAGCTGCCATATGTGAGGGGGTGCCAGAATTTAAATTGAACCTTGCAGCTCCTCTGCTTTCCAGGATGGGGGAGGAGAGGCAAATGGGAGCCACGAGGGGGAGGCACGCAGAAGCCGTGGGGACTCAGGAGCTGGGGGGGGGGAAAGAAGTCTGTGGGAGCCATGTGACCGCTCGGGGATTGAGGGGGTCGCATGGGAGCTGCGGGGGTACGGATAGGGGAAGGGAGGCGCGGGAACTGTGCAACTTCTCAAGGGCTTGGCATGGCATTTGGGAACTGCACAGCCTTGTGGGGGCTTGGGTGCGGGGCGGCAGGGGTGCACAGGAGCCACAGGGGCTCACATGGGGAAGAGGGATGCAGGAGACGTGAGGGCTGGGTGCACGGGAGCCACAGAGCCTCACGGGAAGTTGGATCAGGTGAGGGGAGGTGGGTGTACAGGACATGTGTGGCATTGCAGGTGGTCCAGGGAGAGGGGGTGCATGGGAAGTGCCCGGCCTTGCCCCTTGCTGGCAGGAGGCTGGAGCCGTGTGCCCTTGTGGCCAAAGGAAGAGGGCTGGGCGCTTTTCCCTGCCCAAGGGAGAGGGTTGTGTGCCATGCCTCACTCCCTATCCTCTGCTTTTCCTCCTCCCCTCTTCCTCCTCCATGCCAGAGGGAGAGGACCAGGCCAGCTGCAGCCTCCGGCCCACCCCCACCCTCCTCCAACACCTTGACCTGGCCCTTCCCGGCAGCTGGGGGGAGAATTGGGGATGCCTACCCACAGAGAGGGAGATTGGTGGGCATAGCAAGCAGGGGGCACCGCCCTCTAGTAATTAATGTATTTATATCTTGATTATCTGATAGCTTTATTAATTTACCAATCTTTCATATTTTAAGCAAGTTTGAAGACTTTTATATAGGAGAAAAAATGTTCTTAGTTCTTTCTCACACACAAGGATCTGTAAACCCTCAACCAGTCATTGTGATTTTGAAATGTTGTAGTATTACTGATGGACTGACCAATAACGTTAGTAAAGATCTACCATCCAGTTACAGAATAATTCTGCATACCTTGTCAAATCTATTTTTCCCCCTTTCCTGTTGTAAAACTAGCTGAATTTTCCTTTCTTTTCTTAACTACTGAGAGATTCTAGCTTAGTGTTTAAGGTAAAGAAAACTGGCATTAGGTTGGTAAAGGAGGATCAAGTATAGTGAAGAGGCCATCAGAAAGACTGTTGGGTGGAGAACAGTTATATGGGGAATGAAATGAAAGAAGTTGATTGAGAAGTAGTCAGGAAAAGGGGCATTGAGCCCAGAAAGTAAGACAGAAAATATAGCATGATGAATCAGAAACTAGGGATGTAATAGTATAGATGATTAATCAATAAGCAAAAGCTTATAGGTTAATACTATAGACTATGCACATTCCTCTCGTCCCCCTCTCCCTGTCAGTACATTTTTAGTAGGCTGGCTGGCAGCCTGGCTCAGTCCTGACTTTCGACGGGTTCAGGACCTACCCCTGATGGGTATTAGGAGCTGGGAGGGCAAACCCGGCTCAGTCCTAGCTCATACTGGGTCCAGGAGCTCAGACCTCCCCTCCTCCCCCCCAAACAGGGATTGCTGCCACCTTCTCAGAAGGCAGCCAGTCTGCGAGGGGAGCTGATTTTTAATCTGGCTCCCCTTGCGGACCAGCTCCTACCTGGCACCTCACGCTGCTGCCTCTGATACACTGGCAGCTGGCCCTGCTCTCAGGAACTATTGAATAGTCCACTAACCAATACAATTTCATGAGTTTACTCAACTATTCAATTAACTGATATTTAACATTCCTATCAGAAACTCCAGGAGATCTACTGAAGATATGATCTGGGAGATTTACCCAGAAATGTAACAAGAAGCATCTTCAATAGAGTATTCCCTCCACCTTGGGATTTCATGAGAAACATCCACCCTGGTTTCCATTTATATAGTCCCTAACCTCTTACCCTTAAAACACATAGTCTTGGTCTTTTGAGCTCTCTGGGGGCAACCAGATAGGAAACATTCCTCAACTGTCCACGTCTAGAATTAAATTTCCCTCTTCCGTGAGACATCATAGGTCTACTCAAGAGGTTCATTATCTACAGTCTCAGACTGCTCCTGCAGGAATATGGCTGTATGGAAGGATACCTGAAGGAAATGGATTATTTATTCCAATAGCAATATATTCCTCGACAGTTGATTTTAGGATCTTTCTAGACCTCTTGCAACACATAGCAGGTCACTTAGAGTTTCTAATGGAGGTAGTGCAAGAAAAATCCCATTCCTAACCATGGTACAGAGCAGAATAAATTTCTACTTGGTTGATTTACATAGAAAAATGGAAAAGGTTTTCTGTTTGGGTAATTAAGTGTTGCCTGTCTCCTGTGGAAGCCTCTGTTTCTGCTGTTTACTATCTTTAAAATGTTTGAGATTTTCTCAGCTCTATAAGTGTATATCCGCAATGTCTGCACATTCATCTATGCAGAGTCATACCATATTTTTCTCAATTCCAGGTCTCATTTTGCATTCCATAGGCAGGGATTCATGTTTCTTTGAATATTGTCCCTGTGAGTTGCTCCATTCTATATATATCTGAGCCCCTGCACCTCTAATCAAAGATTTTTGGTGGTAGTGTCTGTTGAGCTTGCCCATGTGTTCTCCTTTCCTCATGGTTCCCCCTCAGTTCCTTGTCAAAAGCTTTGCCCTTGAATGGAGCAGGCAATTCTCCCTTCCTTATCTGTGTTGTTGGCATAAGTAGTAGTTTTTATTTCTTTTTTTCTCCTTGATACTTTTCCTTTTTACTCATGGGAATTAAAAATAAGAAACAAGGAAAGAAGATCTACTGCATTCCTCACTCCTAGAGGATGATAGTTCCTTCTCCCCCAGCAGCATAACAGACTCTCCCTATTTAAAGAGATGCCTCTCCTACAAGGAGCTTATTCCTGTAATGGAGAGGCACTCACTGTGTCTGGGCTCTGGGAAACAGTCTCTCTTCCACCAGCTACCTGGACCTGGGAGCTGAAGTTAAAACTCCTCTTTGTGGAGAAGTCACTTCACTCTCCAGGTGATTCCAGTGCTGACCCCAGATCATCCCTGGAGCGTGTAACTTTCAGTAGTAGTAGTAATGAACAAAAACCAGTGAACTTTCTCTCCCACTCCTGCAATAAGTTTGGGTTAAAAAGGTGTCTCAGCTGTTAGCCAGCCAGAGGGGCTCCTCAGCGTGGCTACCTTGGTACCAGCAGCTCTGAAAAATAGTACCCAGAGGGGTCTCCACTAAGAGTTTTGCCACACTGCCTGGAAAAACCAGGGGCTCAAGCTCTGAGGCAGTGGTACCACCCACTAAGGAGAATGGCAGCAAGAAAACTTCTGGTTCTAGGTATTTGGTTCTAGGGAGTGCTCTGTACCTTCTTAACCATTGGTACTGATCATGTACTATGGACACTTCTCTGCAGTACCAAGCTCCAGTACAGCATGAGCTCCAGTTCCCTAGAGACCTTACAGTTGGGAAAGAATTGTAAGCACTATTGCATGGGCCCCAGTACTGACCACTCTCTTCCCCAGGCTATATACCACCAATACTCTGTCAGCACTACCCTTACCTGATGACGAGTCTGACCATGACCAGGCAGAGGTCATTTTCCTGGTCCCTCATTGTAGCCTACCGTCACAATTCAAAGTCCCCCTCAGTTCCAATGAACTGTCCCATGATTGTGGCACAAGTTCCCTGGGTTAACCCCACTGACTTTTGCCCTTCTCTGCAATAGCTGAATTATGATCCTGAGGCAATGTATACATCATGGCTGTCCAATGTCCCAGAAAATCCTAGGCTATGTCTACACTACAGGCTTCTTGCACAAGAACTGTTTTGCACTAGAGTTCTTACGTAAAAGATTTTGCACAAGAGCGTGTCCACACTGCCATGTGCTTTTGTGCAAGAACATCCATGGCAGTGTGGATGCTCTCTTGCGCAAGAAAGCTCTGATGTCCATTTTAGCCATAGGGCTTTCTTGTGCAAGAAACCCCTGTTGCCTGTCCACTCTGCACATTCATCTATGCAGAGTCATACCATATTTTCCTCAATTCCAGGTCTCATTTTGTATTCCATAAGCAGGGATTCATGTTTCTTTGCGGGGAGAGGAATAACTCTTGCGCAAGCAGTCTTCTTTTCCAACTCTTTACTATAAATTTACTTGCGCAAGAACGCGTGTGCAGTGTAGACACTTTGCAAGTTTTTGTGCAAGAAGCCTGCATTGTAGACGTAGCCCTATAGTCTTCTATAGCTCTGATCTCCTGAGCCAGGGAAGGAGGAAGCTTTTGCAGAACAGGAAGAGGGTCTTGAAGGAGAAACTACCCCTTCAGCAAACTTCTTCTCTCCAGATGTGGCTGAAATGCCCTCCCCATCACTAGGTGATGAGTTTAAGAACTTTCTGGATACTAAGAGGTGTCCTGCAAATTTCCTGATAAAAGGTGGCAAATATACATAACCAGGGCTAGACAAATGATTCAATCTACTTGCCCGTGGTGAGTAGATTTTAAGCTGGCGGGGCCATTTTATGCTGCGCATATGCAGAGTGCACTTCTGCACGGCTGGTGAGCAGGGCTTGCTGCTGCTTGGTGAGCCCTGTACATAACAAGCTGGTGAATATTCTGCACACCAGCTCCGCCAGAATTGCTCTCCCAATTAATAAGGCATTTCTAAATCCTGCCAAAGTCACCTGGCAAACATCAGTCTCCATGGCACCAACCAGCACAAGAGCCCAACAAAAATATTACATGCCTTTCAAAGAGGCAGACTTCCTATTTTAATAACTGTTACCCACCTCCACCATAGCAGATGCAGTTAATGCATGAGGCAAGCTACATAATGCTAAATTGACCCCATACAAGTCAGAGTTGGGAGGACAGCGCATTTATTGTTAATGCTACAGTTTAGCGTCTTGAATTATCATGCTGTCATAGCCCGTATGATTTTATTAATTATGGAAAACTCAGTGCATTTCTGGAATATTTACTGAAGACACAAAGGAGCAGTTTCAGGCCAGTGTCAGAGAGGATCAATTCATAGTCATAATAATGCTATGGAGGACACTGGACATAGCTGATAAAGCAGCTCATTCAGACCTCCTCATGACTACTGTCATGGAGACTTCTTGGCTACACCTTTCTGGGATGCCCAAAGAGCTGCAGATGATCTCCAGTTTGAAGGACATCAAAATTCAGTGAAAAAGTGAGAGCTATTCTGATTGCCATGTCCTCACCAAGATAAGTCTGGTTCCTTTACCTGGCACAGATGGCAATATGTCCTTTGGTTCTTCTTTGGCCCATTCCTCGCCTGCTTCCTCAAAACAGTGGGTTGATCCTTCACTCAAATCTGCAGGCCCTCTTTCTTGGTTCCAAGGCTTACAGGTAGAATACCCTCTTGAGGTGCATCTGAATTTACTTCCCTAGAAAATGAAAAGAAATTGAAGTTTGTTATTCTAAGCATGCAGATCCAACCTCAGCTTCCCTCCCTCAGATTTTACATTACATTTTAGACCTCAAGAGATCAAAAATCACTCGACTTCTTTAAGGTACATTTTGCAGCAAAAATGACTTTCCACTACCATATAGATGGATATTCTGTTTGTACATCTGCTGATAGATTATTTAAGATAATTGGGAATCTTTTCTCACTTATTGATCATCTGCTCCAGCCTGGGATCTTAACCTAGTCCTCAGGGTTTTGACTGGATCTCCCTTTGAGCCCATGGCAACTTTGCTGTCTCCTACATATGTCCATTTCTAATTGCCATCACCTCCACTAAGCACATAGGAGAAATAACAGCCCTAATGGTACACCTACCATGCATGGATGTTCTTTTTTTTTTCTTTTAAGACAAAGTAACTTTGAGACCACATCCCAACTTTCTTTCTAAAGTTGCCTGCTTTTTATATGGATCAACCAATCCATCTTCCAGTTTCATCCTCCCTTTTCTCCCCTCCCCCCCCCAAGAAAACAACATCATAACATCAGAAAGGCGATTCTGCATATGCTGGAGGTTAGAAGAGCACTAGCATGCTTCTTGGACAGGGTCAAGGACTGCAGAAAGTTCCCTAAACTCTTCCTTTTGGTCAGGGAAAGATTCAATTCTGAGACTATCCAAATGAGTCTCTGGTTGCATTAATCATTGTTATCAAGGGTGCAACCTGCTGCTTCCATCCAGAGTCTATATGCATTCCAGAAGGTTAGTCTATACTACAGACACATTCCTTAAAGAAATCTGCAGAGCTGCAATATGGGCTTCTGCCCATACTTTTGTAGAATTTTATGCACTCACTGGAAATTCAACCTCTGATGCCATCTTCAGCTCTTATTACTCTTTGTAGTAACAAACTCCACTCCAAAGTTCCATACTTCAGTGGCAGGTACTGCTTGGGAATCCCCTACAGTGAGGCATCCACTTGATACTACTCGAGGAAGAAGTTACTCATCTTGTGCATTAATGATGGTTCTTGTCCTTATGGATGCTCCACATACCACCTGTCCCCCACTTCAGAGTTCTCCATAAGGAGTCTGGGGTAGAAAAGGAACTGAGGAGAGTTTGCCCATGCTGTGCTAGGTAGCCTCAAGGCTGACCATCATGGAGGAAAAGTGCCTTTGCAGGCTCAAAAATCTCCATTTAGAGGCACAGCTATGCCTACAGCATAGCATCCAGAGGGGGACACATCTTGGATAATAGAACACTAGAACTGCTGCCCAGCCAGACTTCCCCACTTGGGCTGCTGTGGCCCGGGCAGCACTGCTGGGTGACAGACAGCCCTGATGGTTCTCCTCCCAGGCTGCTGTGGCCCCACTACTAGTAAGCTGGCAGTGATGCACCGGGCTCCCAGATGCTGGCCCTCCTGCCCCTGGGGCTCTCTCGTCCAGGAACATGCCAGACCACGGATGCTGCCGATGAGAGAATCCCAGATTTGGGAGGTGTACCCTGTGGAAATATTTGTAGACATGTCTCCCTTACATTCAAATGTAGTGTTGTTAACTCAGTTTTTATTCTAAGTCATGTATGTTTGATGTCTGTCTTTAAATATCTGGCTCTTGCAGTCATGTAATTTATGTAAAAATTTCAGGTTTTTCATTAAAAAGAGACATTTCTGGTCCTCATGGCCGCATACAACAACTTGAAAATACAGCCCAAATGCCCAGTTCATCTTTATATTGGATAAAGGCAACACATTTAGTTTGGGATTTGGAATTTTGATAAGCAGCAATACAAGTAATCCACTTGTTTTTCTTTGCAGATTAGTTCTAATATTTTTAGAACCCTTCCACCAAGTGATAATCCAGATTTTGATCCAGAAGAAGATGAACCTACCCTTGAAGCCTCCTGGCCTCACATACAGGTATAGGATTCCTTTTTCAAACATTCTTGAAATGTAGAAACTAAAGGGTGATGTAGTTCTATGGGTATTTCTTTGAAAACTATTTATTGCATCTGCTTATCATTCTTGCTTCTAACTTAAGAAAGCATTGAATTATTTTTGAAGAAGTTGAAATGCATCTTTCTGCCACACACTAACACACATGAGCCCTTCAGAAAGATTTTACGGCTGTTTTGATTCTTGAAAGCAAGCCCCTATATTTTTATTATCCTATCACAGCTGAAAACCTGGTATATGTGTTTCATGTACATTATCGCAATATTTTGGGTTCCTTTTTTTATTACAATCATCTTTAAGAGTTTCACGTTTTATACCATTGATAGTGGGTGGTTCTTCAAGTGGTTGCTCAGGTGCATTCAGATTAGGTGCGCGCGTGCCACGTGCACAGTTCCCGGAGCATTTTTTCCCCAGCGGTACCCATCGGGTCGGCAGGTCGCCCGCTGGAGTGGCACCGCGATAATAGCACATAAGTACCCCCTGCTGGCCCTCACCGTCTCTCAGTTCCTTCTTACCGCCGGTGATTGTTGTTGGAGTTTCTCTTGTTAATCCAGCAATTAGAGTTCTTTGTAGTGTAAATAGTTCTTTAGTCTTAGTTTGCATTTAATAGTATAGTTAGCACTTAGGTAGTTTAAGTGTTCTCTCCCCTTCAGGGAAGGTATGCCAGCTCGTATCCCATTTGTGGGATGAAATACTTCTCTACTCCTTTTGGGTAGGCAGGAATGATGCTGGGGTTTGCCACAGAGCAGTCGTGATCTTAGCCACTGTTTTGGACCTCAGAGACCTCAACCGGTTCATAAAGACAACGAGGTTCAGGATGGTCACGCTTGCCTCCATTATTCCCATGTTCGATATAGGAGAATGGTATGCGACCCTCGATTTAAGAGACACTTATTTTCATGTAACCATACGGCCAATGCACAGGCGCTACCTAAGGTTCGTGGTAGGGCATGAGCATTTCCAGTTTACAGTCTTGCCCTTCGGTCTCTCCACCATCCCCAGGACATTCACCAAGTGCATGGCAGTGATGGCGGCTTTCCTCGGAACACACTGAGTGCAAGTATTCCCATATCTGGATGACTAGCTCATCAGAGTGCGATAAAGAGCTCTAATCCTTCTTCACATAGACATTACAAAGTCTCTGTCTGAGGAGCTGGGACTTTTGATAAACGAGGAAAAGTCCATGTTAACTCCCTCGCAAGACATACAATTCGTGGGGGCACACCTAGACACCATTGCAGGTAGAGCATCCCTCCCCACAACCAGATTCACAACCTTGACACAAATTATTCAGGGACTTCAGCTATCTCCCCTCTCCCTTACAATGGCAAGAAACTGCATGAGACTACTGGGACACAAGGTGTCATGCATGCATGTGGTTCTCCATGCCAGACTGAGACTCAGGCAGTTACAGGCATGGTTGGCTCAGTCATTCAACCAGAATCAAGTACATTGGGACTCAGTGCTGTCGCTTCCACAGGAAGTCTTCCCATCACTGCACTGGTGGACTCAAGAAAGGGAAGTGTGCAAGGGTGTTCCGTTCCTCAACGAGACACCCACTGTGAGACTAGTTACCGATGCTTCGGACCTAGGTTGCGGGGTGCACTTATACCCTCACAGGACGCAGGGTCTATGGACTCCTCTGGAGGGAGACCTACATATAAATGTCAGAGAGTTGAGGGCAATTCGGAGAGTGTGTGAAGTCTTCTTTCCTCACCTCTCAAGCAACTTGGCGTATCTACCAGGGAACAAGAACCTCTTAGCAGACAAACTGAGTCACTCATTTGGGACTCAAGGTGGTCCATAAGGAAGGACATATTACAGGGGCTATTCTGAAAGTGGGGTTGTCCCCAGGTGGATCTTTTCACCACGGAAATAAACAAGAAGTGTCCATCCTACTACTTGTTCATGACCCAAGGGTTGAGGTCCAAAGTAGCCGATTGGCCCAAGGGACTTCTTTACGTGTTTCCCCTATTCCTGTTGATCTACAAGGTTCTCATCAGAGTCAAGAGATTCAAAGCACTAGTCTCTTAATAGCTCCAGACTGGCCCAGACAGTTCTGCTATCTGGTCCTCTTGAACATACTCCAGGTCAAGCCTCAAGCCATTTCTACTGTCCCAGATGTAATCGTTCAAGAGTGGGGGGGGAGGGTCTCTTGTACCACCCGAATATCAAATCCCTCCATTTCATGGCGTGGCTTATTCATGGCTAACTGGTACAGAACTAAATTGTTCTGAGGCTGTGAGATCTGTACTGCTGAGTAGTAGAAAGCCTGCTACAAGGGCGGCATACTCAGCTAAGTGGAAAAGATTTTCATGGTGGGCTGCGGATACAGGTATAGATCCTAGTACGGCACCCACTCCTCTGGTGTTAGCATATCTCCTGGGGCTAAGGTGGGCTGGCCTTTCCATAGCATCCATTAGTGTGCATCTAGCGGCTATGTCAGCTTTCCACGGGGTAAGGAAACAGATCCCTATTCGCGAACTAGTTGATTAAGAGGTTCTTTAAGGGTCTATATACAATGTTCCCGCATGTGAAACCACCGGTGCCCCAGTGGGACCTCAATTTAGTACTTACCAAACTCATGTCCCCACCCTTTGAGCCGCTGGCCATGTGCTCGCTAAAGCACCTCTCTCTTAAAGTAGCACTTATCGTGGCAGTCACTTCAGCAAGGGGGAAGGGGAGGTCTCAAGGCACTGACGATAGAGCCCCCTTACTTACTCTTTTCAGCAGATAGGGTGAGTTTACCTCTCCACCCAGCCTTCTGACCGAATGTAGTGTCCACCTTCCATATGTCCCAAGACAAGTACCTGCCTGTGCTTTACCCAAAGTGCCATAAGTACAAGCCCTCCACTGTCTTGATGCCAAGAGAGCATTAACCTCTATATAGACGGAACCAGACACTTCCACAAGTTGTCCCAACTTTTTATTTCATTTGTGGAAAGGATGAGAGGGTTGCCAGTGTCAGCCCAGAGGCTATCTTTCTGGGTGTCGTCCTGTATAAAGGAGTGTTAGGTGTTAGCAGGCAAAGACCCGCCTCACATGACGGTCCTCTACAGCGTTCGTGGCTCGAGTCCCGATTGTAGATATCTGTAGGGTAGCCACATTGTCCTCAGTCCATACGTTCACTGTGCATCATGCCATTACGCAGCAGGCCAGGAGTGACGTAGCCCTGGGTTCTGCAGTTTTAAGTTCAGTTCTGTAACATATTCAAATAAAAGTATGTTAGAAGGAAGTCACTTGAATTGATTTCTGGGTCGTGCCTCTGACCCTACCTCCACAAGTTTTGGCTAGGGATTCACCTAATTCGAATGGACACGAGCAACCACTTGAAGAAGAAAAGAGGGTTACATACCTGTAACTGTTGTTCTTCAAGATGTATTGCTCATGTCCATTTTATCCAGCCCCCCCCCCCCCCCCCCCCCCTTCCCTTTGTTGGAGTCTCCGGCAAGAAGGAACTGAGGAGGGGAGGGTCGGCAGGGGTACTTATGCGCTGTTATCGCAGCACCACTCCAGGGGGTGGCATGCCAGCCCAATGGGTACCGCTGGGGGAAAAATGCTCTAGGAACCGTGCACGTAGCGCACGCACCTAATTCGAATGGACATGAGCAACATATCTCAAAGAACAACAGTACAGGTAAGTAACCCTCTTTTCTTCGGGTGAAGAGAGGATGAGGAATTTGGGCTTATTTAGTCTGCAGAAGAGAAGAGTGAGAGCCAATTTGATAGCAGCCTTCAACTTCCTGAAGGGAGGTTGCAAAGAGGATGGAGAGAGGCTGTTCTCACTCAGTAGCGATAGATGGCAGAACAAGGAACCTTACAAGTCTAGGTTGGCTATTAGGAAAAATTGTTTAAATAGGAGGATGGTGAAGTATTGGAATGGAGCTTCAGAGGGCAGCCGAGTTAGTCTGTTTGGGTATGTCTACACTACAAAGTTAATTCGAACTAACAGACGTTAGTTCGAATTAACTTTGATACGCGCTACACATGCAAACCGCTAGTTCGAACTTAATTCGAACTAGCGGTGTGCTTAATTCGAACTAGGTAAACCTCATTCTACGAGGACTAACGCCTAGTTCGAATTAACTAGTTCGAATTAAGGGCTGTATAGCCACTTAATTCAAACTAGTGGGAGGCTAGCCCTCCCCAGCTTTCCCTGGTGGCCACTCTGGGCACCACCAGGGAAACTCTTCTGCCCCCCTCCCGGCCCCGGATCCCTTAAAGGGGCACGGGCTGGCTACAGTGCCCGTGCCAGGTGCAAGCCTGCCAGCACCCAGCCAGCAGACCCTGCACTTGGCACCGCTCCAGCCCC